AAAAAAAAAAAAAAAAAGGGACTAGCTTCAGGCAGATGACACGATTATTTTTACGTTTTGCTTCTTTCGATTACAGTGTCGATGTCTTTTCTTTTTTCTTTCGTTTTTTTTTCTATTATTATTATTATTATTATTATTATTATTATTATTATTATTATTATCATTACCATTATTATTACCATTATTATTATTATTATTATTATTTCTCATCGTAGCAAGGTAAAGAATTTAAAATTTCGTTTCGTGACGATCGACTTCGCTCTTCGACAAATTACAAATTACACTTTAAAGATGATTTAGCACTTTACTTTACCTTTACCAACGAGATTTAGCGATTCTCCCGGGGGGAGGGATAAAAGCACACATTTTAATTAGCGATTTATAATTAAATAAACGTTTAGCTCTGAGTTGTGGCATAATTCGCGCGAACAACGTGTTCAAAACGAGAATCGACCAACCGAGGTCCGCGAGCGTGAGTTTCGCGATCGATCGAACGATCCAACGAATGTCTTTCCTTGTTATTGTTAATCCTTCGTTGCAGTATCCATATATGCTTTTATTGCAATCACGAAAACGAGCGATAATTTTCGTTAATAGATTAAAAATCGCTCGCGCACTTCTTTTCTTTTTTTTAGAAAAATAGAATAAAAAACGTTATACGTTCGGGTTTCGGGTTTATTGATTGATCAATTGATTAGAAAAAAAAAAAAAAAAAAAAAAAAGGAGAGAGGAAAAAAACACGAACGAACCAAGAGGTATGCGAGAGAGATAGACTCGAAAAGCGATCGATAAATCGTTGATCGTTCGGCGATGCACGCGAACCGGATTTCGTTTCTCGTCTCCCTTGTGCTCGCCGCTTGAGGAAAACAACGCGGGGAATATAGGGAATGAATTTATGATAGACGATCGAGCGTGCAGAGCGTCGATTGGTTAGGTTGGCGTGTAAAAGAGTGATTGTTCGAATGGACGAGGTGAAGAAGAGGTAAAGGAAAAAAAGGAAAAGAATAAAAAGAAAAAAAAGGAAAAAGGAAAAAAAAAAAAAAAAAAAAAAAGAAAAACGAATATCGCGCATGTAATCCGAGAAAGTGTAATGCAAAAAATAGGTATATGATTATATTACATAATATACATACAATTGTGATCGTGAGAGTATCTGTTGCGAATAAAATAATAAATTACGAATAAATCATTCATGACTTTTTTCCAAGCTACTTTTCAACTCGACGAATACTTTTCAACGCCTTCCCCCAATCGCCATCCCCCTCCCTCGAATTATTTATTAAACACAAAAAGGACCCTCCTGTTTAACAAAAATCCCTTTATTTCATTTATCCTTCATTTAAACAACAGTTCGAAATTTTTTCGTTCAACGTAAGATTTCTTTCTCTCTCTCTCTCTCTCTCTCTCTCTCTCTCTCTCTCATTGCTAAAATTACAACAATTTCCTGCTCCTCGAGCTTCTCCTTATATAAAGCCATCTTTGTTTCTCGACATGGGACGAAGAACTCGACGGGACAGGGAAGGGAGGGAGGGAGGGAGGGAGGGAGGACGTGAAGAACAAAAGTGCACGACACTCGAGCGTGATTCGCGCGTATCGCGCAACAATATGATATATTTATAATACAAACGAAGACGATTGGGGGGGGGGAGGATGACGATGATGCTGACGACGATGATCTAATGATGGGGGACGTAGCTGTGCGAATTTTGGGGGCAACTAGGTAGCAAGCTCGACGTGTCCTCCTCGGTGGAGCACAGCATCCCGACGAGGGTGTAGTCGACGAACGGTGGAAGATCCAGATCGGTCACGTCCCCGTAATTGTTCATCCCGTTGGCCTGGGTCCCTGCCGCGTTCGCGATGGCCATCTGGGGTAGCCGCGTGTCCACCACCTCGCAAGTGTAATGGCAACGATCGTTGCTGGGGTAGAAGAAGGGTTCGGGGCTGTTTTGGGCGGGTATAGAGGCGTCCATCCCGCTCGGATCGGGGAACAATCTTTCGCTCGTGTCGGGATTCGTTTCGCGGCCACCGTAATTATTCTGCAACCTCTCGTCGAGGACCATTCGATTCGTGTTCTGATCAGGTATTCGATTGGCCAATTGGTGATTCTTCGCGTTATCCGATTGCTCGAACATCTGATGGCTGTAACCGTCGTTGAACGAATAATGTTTATTCTCCATAGGGCTGCGACTGGGGCGTGACGAGTCGACCGTAATCCCGTTCTCCTTTTTCGGGTAGACGTTGTAACTCGGTCTGTCCATCAATCCTGGCTGGCAGTTCTCTTTTGGAAAACAGTTCACGTCACGTCTCGAGGGCAACAGCTCCTCCTCCTTGCGAGGATCGAAGTCGGGGAAGTTCAGGCGATCGTCCTGGTGATTTTGGGTCCAATAGTTCGTTTCTTGATCCGCGCTCTTCACCCCACCATCCTCCACGAAATTCTTCGGGTGACGTTGATAATCTTGGAAGTTTAAAGGATTGTTCAACTGGTGATGATGATGATGATGATGATGATGATGATGATGATGATGATGATTATTATTATTATTATTATTATTATTATTCTGATTCCCCTCTTTTTCAGGGACGAATTGATTCACCGGTCTCTTGGCGCAAAACCCGTTCGCAGGGTCTTTCTCCGTCTCGAAATTGGGAAATTGTAGCCTCTCGTCTTGGGGTATGCTCAAGTGACTGCTGCTCGAGTCCTCGCTGAGAAATTGGTTCCAGTAAGCTTGGTCCTGGTGCTGTTTCATCTCGTACTTTATGGTACCGCTTCCAAGATCGAGCAAGGTGGGCGGTGATCTGGCCACTTCTTGAGAATTCATGGAGAATTCGGGTCTCAGGGGTTGATCCAGCTGGAAGATCTCTTCCGGTTGGAGCAATTCTCCGGTGAACGGGGGAAAATCGGGGTAGGAGGCCTCTTGAGACACTTGATTGGGGAGATTGTAGCCCAGCGCGGTCTCTTGGGTTGGGACGGTGTCTTGGAGCCAGTAGGGGGTGTCGTTCGAGGCCGTTTGTTGGGGATACATGGTTGTTTGATGATGAGACTGTTGATAAGCCGAGACGTTGTTCTGTAGGCCGCACATGCATTCGAATGGTGGGCAGGAACACGAGTATCCTGAGAGGATATATAAAAATATTAACATTTTCCAGGAATAAATTGTGAGCAGATGGAAGAATTTTTAATTTTAAAGCTTGGAAATGAAAGACGAAGAGAGTATAAATATAATAATAATAATAGTAGCAATAATCTCTCTTAACGTTAAAACTTTGTACTAAATTGGAACAATTTTTTAGGTCTTGGAATAAGATAAATAATAATATCGTTATTATTATACACAAATACGCAATATATTAATCACAAATACACAAAAATTTCGTGCTTGTCGTAAAAAGATTGAAAAGTAATGTTTTAAAAAATCGCGCTCGAATCTATGATCTGAAGGTTGCTGCGTATTGGCACAATCTATAGCAGCTGGTGCCATCTGTCGGAGCAAATAGTAAACGCGAACGCGAGAATGTTCACGGTAAAAGTGGCGAGATTCGAATTTAAGAATAAATTTATCGAAACTCCATTTGTGATCCAGTTACGAAAATTTATTGACAGTGTTTAACGCGAAACAAGCGTGTGTTTGGAAATAAAACGATTGTTAACCTTTATCCGGTATCAGTGGCGGTGGCTGCGTCGTTCTTGGCGGTTGCTCGATTGCTTCCGAATTCGATCTTTTCGTTCCACGTAGTGACATTAACTGAAAAAAGCACAGCACGATACATTCGTCAGTCGTAAAATTAACAAAAGAATCAAGAAGTTGTTCTCAACAAGCAAAGTGTTGTTGGAATCTGTCGTTCGTCCAAACTACCTGTCTCGGTAAGTCTCTTATACGTATTAAGCATGCAATAATATTAATTACGTATAAATTTCGATCTTTTGAATATTTTTATCCGCGTTTCGGGAGAAGAGGTTATGACGATGTCTACGATGTGTAAAAGAATTTTGTTCCTTTATTTACGCGAAGCAAATCGAACGTGCAGTAACGAGACGTGGAAAATTATTGAAAAGAAATCGATAAAGAAATTTTTCGATAAACGTACTTTGGAACCCAAAGCAGCTTCGTTTGCGAGAAGGACCGCCAGTCCTCGTACCCTTCTGCCGGCACCCACGCTTCGTCTCGCCTCGGACGTGGATTTTGCTTCTGGTCGCGGATGATCGTGTTGTCCTTTGGCTTGAAAAAATATCGCGTGCTCGGTATGTCGCCAGAAATGCGTTACAGGGTAACCGCAATGGCCGCGACACGAAAGTATTTCCAACCGACCCGTGCATTGTCTATTGGGACACGGTTTCCCTTGTTGCTTTTTCCTTGCCTGAAAACCACATAAATCGTGTTATTTATAATTGCACCTTGCTTCAATAATCATATATCGCAGTTATAATATAATTCAAAAGTATGTCTATAACTTTTCATCTCTGAAATAATATTTCAGCGATAAAATTTTTGAAACGCGTGTTGTCGAGGAATAGAGTTTTTACCGAAGGAATTTGATATAAAAAGAAAATAAAATTTAGGAATTACTCGGCGAGATTTCACCCGAAAGATTTCGATTCCCTTACCTTGTCACAAATTGCCGGTCGAAGGTGAACCCTTCCGCCGCCAGGTAGTATGCATTCTTGCGAACAGACCAGCACACCGAGGCAAGATTTTTTCAAGATGCTCACGTTGTGATTGTTCGTGTTCCTCATCGCCCATCCGGATGCGTGTCTTCTCGCTTCCTCGCAATCTGGCCCGTACACTCTTCTTACATGGCCGTCCGCCCATTCGCACCAGGGATCATACTCTACCACCTATAATTGTTTTCAATTATCACTATTGTTATGAAACTTCGATTCAAAAATATCTATATATATATACATCTCTCTTGTAGATAATTTTAAAGTTCTTCGTTTTGCATTTGTGTCATTTCGAATATCTTAATTACGTTTCTTATGAAATTAGAAAGAATCACGAAACAACTATTTCTCGTCACTTTGGATATTCCATTTGAATCATGCTTGGGTAATACCAGAATGAGCAAGACAGTAAGTACGTTTAATAATTCTTTAATAATTCTCGAACGGAAAAATTTTTTTCGAGAAATTACCCTTGGCACGTTCGAGTCGTTGATGTCCCATTCTTGATGCGGATGTTGCTGTTGCTGGTTGCCGGCAACAGTCGCTGACATCGTCGGCGACCCAACGCGACTCCTAGGGAGAGAAATAAAAATTCCATAAAACGATGAACAAAACCGAATATATACATACATATTTCAACAATTTTCTATTATTCTATAAGCAAACTTAAAATATCAAATGGTTATACCTAGACGATAATTCAAACACGCGATTATCACACGATTATCGTCAACTGTTCTCGAAACATCGTAGAAGGCGTAACCGTTCCTCCCTCGACGAGAGATAAGCCGATGCTCCTTGCGTATACGATCGACCTTGAGATTCCCCCGGAATCTCGTCGCATCGAATTCAAAGACCAATTTGGGATTACGCAATAGCCGGCGTAGCGAGGGGTCGCCAGTATCGAGATAAAATCCCGATTTATGGCGCGTAGCTGGCCGTAGCTCGCGCCATACTTATGGGAACCCGTGGGTGGCCTGACAAGGGGCACGTTCACCGCCTTTCCGGAATCCTTATATCCGTTCTCGATCCAGGATAAAAAGATCGATCCCCGCGCTTACGATTTTTCACTTCTCGACTGCCCATTTCCTTTCGTTATTTCGCGGTTAAACGGACATCGTCGCGAGCTTATTTTTCTTCTTCTTCTTCTAAAATATAACATCTCTCTGTTTCTCTCATTTTTTTTTTTTTTCATTTTCGAATTTGAATCATGCATTTTTTTTTTTTTCGAAATCGAAAAATCGATGAGAGTAGATTTGATCAAGGACGAATCAATTATAAAATTGAAAGGATTTTGTAAGAATCGTTCAAAATATTCTTTATATTCCTCATAGGTACAGGTAAACTCGCGGTCAACGCGATTCCACATAAATCGTCTGGCGAATATATGCCCGTGTCAGGTCATGCTTCTGCCTTTCTCTCGTTGACATTAAAGTCCGCGGTTATGATCTGTGGCGGCATTAACTGTGCGCGAAAACGATCGGCGAACCGAGATTCCGAGATGAGTCAGTGCGTTCTCCTTTCCCGTTTCCAGTTAAAATGAGAAATTCGATATTCATATAGAATTTTGTATACAATCCAAAAAAAGGAAAAGAAAAAAATTCAACATGACTTTCTTCATTTCACCGATGATCGATAATTTTCGTAAATTCGATCGAAAAATTTCGTAAATTTTTGACGAATGTCTGTTCCCACTTTTCTCGTTCGTGGCTTGTTTATCTCGACACGTTGTGTTTTCAAACACAATGTGTTCGTAGAAATCCGATCGGTTTACATAGCATACGCGGAAGCGGTATTATTCGAGGAACAACACGAGTTGTACAACAAAGGAAGGCCGCAGAAGGTTTCGACGATTTGACGGAGAAACAGGCTCGCGCGAGAACGGTTATAAATATCGGCGATCAGGTGTCATTGACCATGAAGACACCCATGGAAGACGTTCGCTTCGCCTACGTTCTATCGGGACAACCTGCTATCTAAAGTTACTAAACTGAGCTCCACGGTGCACCACGTCTCTCTTTATTGAGATTCCACCAGTAGATTTCGAAAAACTTTCGAAAATGAATCAAATTCTCGAGGATATGAAAATTCTCATTCTCATCTTCTGTATATATAAACCAAAGGGAGTGAAAATTTAATTTACGATTTACTGTTTTCTCTACCATGGAATCACCAACTGTGCGCAGGTGTAAGTAATTTTATCCATCCTCTTTATTTCCCAATTCGCGCGTTGAAAACGATATATAATCGATTTAGAATGAGCGATAAAACGTTTCGCACAAGTATTGCGCGCACAAAAAAATTTTATCGAGTCGAGCCCGCGTTTACGATCTTCGAAACCACCTACTCTCGTCACGTGGGTCCAAACGTAGATGGATTTCATATTTCAAGATAAGATCTTTCTTTCCAATTATATCCCGTGCCTGGACGAACTCGAATAAGAATATCGTCGAGTAATTAAATATTTATCAAGTACGTATATAAGAATAAGACGCGAAGCAATTTCTCAAATTTCATTTCATTTTGTACTCCGCGAACGTGTTCACGCGGGGGTTTACAAGAAAGGAAAAAGAAATAAAGGAAGAAGAAAATTATGCGAAAATGAAACGTCGCATCCTGACATTCCTTCACATCCATTTCCACCGGAATCAAAACATCACCACGAGACGACCAACAGCAACAACAAAGTTCTCCTCTGCCAACATTTTCGCTAAACAAAGCTACTTCATCCTCGCAAAAACAACCCCTCATCATGGTCACGGAGGTTTTCATCGCCGGAGACCGCAGCAGCGTCGAGGCGCAATCGAAGCGTGAAACCGCGACGATCGGCATCACAACCGATCCACGATCTGCTGCTCCTCGACGACGACGACGACGACGACGACGACGACGACGACGAGGGAGAAGCGACTATTATCCGGCATCGCTCGACAGCCGCTCTTTCCCCTCTTCTTTCCCTTCTCCTTAAATCTCCGAAGGCGGCCGTGACCTGGCCGAATCCGAAGTTGGCGCGAATTTCGAGGCGATAATTTCACGCGCGGGCCGATCCGTTATCCGGGCGAGGAGGAGGAGGAGGAGGAGGAGGAAGGCAAAATAGAAGGCGAGGAAGGCGGCCCCGGCACGCAAAGCGTCCCGCTCTTGCGTTCGCTTCGTGAGAAAAGCGGGAGGGGGGCAGTGGGCCTGCCGGTGAATGATTGCCCGGATCGGTGATAAAGTCATCGCCTTTAGCACCGGCGTAAGATGATACATCGGCGGACGATGCTGCGAGGAGATTGTCCCGCGGTTGTTCGAAGAGGCCTCGAGGCCTCTTGGCTGCAGTCGACGCGTACCACGACTCCTTCTCTCCTTTATTTCCTCTTTCTCTCTCTCGAGAGGAGGAGGAGGAGGAGGAGGAGGAGTATATCCTCGTTCCGGTCGGTATGGGCGCCTTCAGAATTTCAGATATTAAGGCTGATACCGCGAGTATCCCACTAAAATATCACGCGAGTGTCGCCTCGACGAGAGATTTCTCTTCGCCTCGATGGAGGAGGCAGCCTCTCGGGATCGTCCACCGAGATTACGTCTAAACGAGTTAATTCTCTCGCGGCTGTGGCCACTTCGATACGAACGGGAAGGGAGAGAGAGAGAGAGAGAGAGAGAGGCTTTCTGCGGATTCGCGCGACGAGGACGAGAATTTGCAGTCGGTTCCGTGTGATGTTTCTTTCTCGAGTTCCTAGGTTTACGAGCCGCGTGGGGTGGTTTAGGAGAGGTGTTGAGAGATTCTTCGCCTATAGCTTATATTTATCCCGAGATTAATCTTGTGTCTTCGATTTTACGTGGTTGGGTGCGCGATCTGTAGTTGAATTAGGGGGAAAAGAATTTTCGAGTTCTGTTCGTCTCGTGTACTTTGGCGGCGAGAAAATTAAGAATTGCATTGCGATTGGGCAATGACCCGAGAAGCTTTCGATCTTCCCCCCGTTTCGAACGGTTTCCCCGCGATCGAGGAAGGTACGTATAGCGTAGGCAGAATGTTTACACGATGGAATATTTACATGGATTATTTTAACAGAAGATTACGCGTTCCGTTATTCATCAATGGGAATCGATTGTAGATCGTTTGAAGATCGTTCCCAATTACACGTATTTAACCGAGAGACCAAACACGAAAAGTTGAAGAAGAGCGATATTCGTTCTTTTAATTAATCGATCGAGATGGAGAAGTTTTGAAAGGAATAAGGAAAATTCAAAGTTCGTTTTTTTTCCTATCATCGACGAATAATGGAAGATCGATCACGGAATTGATTATGATTTAAAAATTTGGAGCATTCGAATTCCCTTCGTCGTCCTCTCCTCGTCTATCTCCTCTTATTTCGCACCTTGCTCTTCTCGATTTACTCTCGAAGGGGAATCGGCAAAAAAACCTGGCTGACTTACAAAAATCCAGCTGGACCGGTTTTGTTTGGTTCTATCGCGTTTCATTGAGGTTCATCGAGTTTTATCGAGCCACCTCTCCCCTCTCCCCTCTATTTCATTCTTCGCGATTTCTCGCGCCCCCTCGTCGCGAGAAACGATTCGCGGTTTGCCAAAGAAACGAGGCGAAGAAAGAGCAGAAAATAAATCGCGGTGATGCAATTTTCACGAACCGTGTCGGACAATTTGTCGCTTTGATTCGTCGTCGTCTTCGTCGTTGCCGGAGCAAATACTTTGGAATTTCGATCGCGTATTTTATATCAACTCCCCCCCCCCCCCCTCTCTTCGATAATATAATACATTATTAACGTATTTTCATTTTTCCTTAAAACAATCCTTTTATGAAACAATGTGAATGAATTCGAATAACAATAAAACGTACGATCGGATCCAAAATCAAGCGTAACTAAGAACTTACACAAAATTCTCGACAGACAAGAGACAAGAGTTACCGGAAAGAGATGTAAAGAGTACTCAAAGAGATTTTTCAGATCAGTGGTGGCTGTTATGTACGGGGGTGGCGTGCAGAAAATAGTTGGAAAGTGGATTCGAGTTAGGTGAGGGTTGCGAGAGGGAGCGAGTTACCCTCGGCGAGCATAATTAATACCTGGTAAACTGTCAGCTTCCATTCGACCGCCACCGTATAAAAGGATCGTTGCTCGGGTGAGGAGAGGAGGAGAGCGGAGACGGGGAGCGGGTTCAAAGAGTTGTTCACCGGCGCGGGCAGGCAGAGGGAGGGAGGGAGCGTTCTTGAGATTCGAGATAAAGGGAGATCGTTTTACCCGCGGACATTCGTTTAATCTGTCCTCCGAGGTGTTGGGCCGTGATCAATAGCGAGCCACGGCAACATCCGTAATCGGGTTTTCAAGAATAGAGGACCTCTTCGATCCACCGTTTTCGATTGTTTTAAAATATTCCCCATATTATTTCCTTAAGAGCAGGATATCTAACTTGGCTGGATTTCAACGCTATCTTCTTTTTCTTCGTTTCTAATTTTCTTAATCGAGAATACGATTATTTCTCAAATTTCCTATACTTTCCAGTGGACGAGTAGTATTTAAGTTTGAAACGATGATGATGGAGTGTACTCGTTCCAATTTCCAAGTTTATCCAGTTTTTTTGAATATTTGTACATTCGAGACTATCTCTCGAGAGTATTTTCTAACGATAAGAAGTATTCAATATTAATTGTTGGAATATGATTTGAAATCCAAGAGTCTTCGAGCCTTATTAAATTGCGAAGATATATTTATATGTGTATATGTTGGAGGAACAATGGAAAATTAGAAAATTTAAAATGGAATATTTACGAGTTCGAAGAAAGTATTAGTCGTAAAATTGTGGCGAGTAAAGTGTTTCAAAAACTCGGAGCCTTGAGGTGCGCATGTATGCGGCAGAGAGCTCTAGAATACCCATCGACCAATCGGGGTCCGTGATAACGCCCACACACCAATGAGAAACCCGCAGAACGCCCACTGATTAGATACTAGGGAAATCTCGCTTCTCGTCCAGGAAGAGAAATCGATGCTGAAATGGTCGCCACCTGCTCCCAAACTTTTCCAATTATCGTATTGTCGGGCCTCTTCGAAATTCTCTGAATTGAACATATCAGAATGTATTTTTAACTCGAACCACCGGGGACCAATTTTATTTCATGTATTCCCAAACTGCTGAACGATATGTTCTCGTTGAAGGAAATAGAATACAAAGCAGATAAAGCCAAACTACTCGACTCCATTTGCAGACGAGCCCATTCCTTCCATCCGTGGCGCGATTCAAAGAAAATTTTGTCCGATTATTATCTCTCTCTAATCTACTCTAATTAATTTAAAAATAAGATAAAATGAACCGTGCTCAAAAATACTCACAGTACCACCATAGTCGTAGCTGCTTCCTAGAAGACGTCGCACCGGTACCAGACAATCGGACAATTCACAAATTCTTCCCTAATTCCCTTCTCTCGACACTTCACCCCGAGTTATTATCAAGCCCTGTCGCCCGAAATCGACTAACTTCGCCCCCCCATCGTTCCCTCCAAATCCTTCGAATCACCCAGTCAAATTCACAGGGTCGCCCACCCCCTCCCCCTTTAATCACGTCTCTTCTTCTAAAGCGCAATATCGTAAATGATCCAATTCGCACGGACGAAAAAGGAAGTGTATGTATTTTTATTATATATATGTATATATATATATATGTATATATACGGTCGCGCGTAAGACACTACGCATCGATGCGTGCGACGCGAAGTCGCTACGTGAACTGAGGCGCCTCCGCTCGGGTGCGTACTAGATTGGAGCCAGCACGTTGCCAGCACGGTGGATGGTGTGCACGTCGTGGTTAGTCCTGGCCGGCAAGGGAAACGCCTAGAGGAGTGGCCATGCCCGACCAATCCGGTGCTTTGCTAGCTCGCCGTGTGCCGGAGGGTGCTTAATTGCAGACACCAACCCCTCTCGACCTGCCCAAGGATCGATCACCGTGCAACCACCGCTCTCCTCGAGCCTTTATTGCTCCTACATTCCGGAATTGGGGCCCTCCTCGATTTCTGGGGCCGTTCTCCTCCGTGCAACGATCTTCGTTCGAACAATCCAAGTTGATTGCTTTTATCCGAATTTAATTTTTAAAATTGTTCCGGGAAGGGGAGGACACTTCTGCCTCGACACGAATATTTTTCTCGATGAAAGTTTGAACGAAGAGGATATCGACTTCGACTAGGCGTTATTATCAATTCGAGAGAGAGCTCTGTTCCGCGAATATGCACGGAATAGGTCGCGACGAGGTCGCAATCAGCTGGTCCCGAGGCGCTTTAAGGGGGTGTCCCTAGTAGGATCCTCCTACTTCCTACCTTCTCCATCCCTTTGCCTCCGACCCCAGGTACCCGCATCCAAGACAACGGCCCGTTACGCTTCGATCGAACCTGAACCCACCACGCAAACATATCTGCCGAGGTGAGCGCGTCCTCGGAATTGAAGAGTTGCCGCGATTCCCACCTAAAGGACGGGGCACGGTTAATAATAATTCCTACCTCGTAGTGAACTCCTCGAGAGTGAAGCGAGAATTCGATAGTTTTTAAAGAAATGGTCGAAATATTGTGAAATTGGTGAAGAATTGGGGACGACCCGATTGTCGATCGATCGTGCCCTTAATTTAAAGAGAATGATAACATTTCTTTTGCGCGACGACGCGTATCCTAACCGCACGTGCGATTTCGAGTATCGGGCACGTGCGCTCCCGATAACTCCACTTCCTACCACGTGTTCACAGGTGCGCCTGAACACGGCTCTTAATTAATAAGAAGACGCTTGCAACTACGTGGTAACGCTCGAATCGATACGCCGGAGAGAAATTTGTTACGGGGGGGGAAAAAGGGAGAAAAAGGAAGGCGAAGAAGAAGCGGTCGGTCAAAGGGCAGGGATTTCCGTGTGCCGGGTGATGGCTCTCTCACCCCTTCCATAGTTCTCCGGGAGAACTGGCATCGAAAGAAGGGAGGGGATGGTGTCAAGGGGTCGAGTGGAAAGAGATCGAAAACGCGCCCGATCAAAATATATATATATATATATATATATCCTCGAAAATTCTTCCAACCACGCTTGCAAACGTTCCTTCTCCTATCTCTAAAAAGAGAAATCTCTCTAAAAGGTTGCTTTTTACGAGAGAAAAAAAAAGAGGAAAAAAGAACGGCCGAGAAAGAAAAAGAGAAGGGAAGAGAAGCAAAGGGGTGAAGGAAGATAGCAGCGCGGAGAGAAAAGGAGGAGGGGAGGAGGAGAGGGCAGAGGGGTGGAGGAAGCGGAGTTCGGGTCTGTTTAAACACAGAGGGTGTGCAATCAGGAGTGTTTGCCGTTTGCACGAGCGAGCGAGCGAGCGAGCGAGCGAGCGAGCAAGCGAGCGGATCAAAGGATAAACGCGGATGGGGTGGGTGGGCCGGCTGATAGCGCTCTGATTTGATTGTTGGCCACGGCTATTGTCCCCGACACTGGCCCTATTGTACTTGTCCCCGTGTCGGTACAGCCTCGGTACTTGCACACAGGTAGCGCCACGGCTGGAACTACGCTTCTGCCTGTGACACTATCTCTTTGCCGGTCGCCATTCCGTTTCCAAGCTGGCGAGCCTCGATACGACCGACAATTATTGCGGAAATATCGCTGAAAAAAATTGCGCCTACCCCCATTCTCGCTCTCTTTTCCTTTATTTTTCCCAATCCCCTCTCCCTTCCTTTTTTTTCTCCTTTCTCTCTCTCTCTCTCTCTCTCTGCCTTCCACCTTCTACCATTGTCTAGGTGTCTCGTGTATTTTTATGACTTCTCGGTGAGCGAGTTTTGCCGCGATTTTCACGAGCGGATTATATTTGTTTTTTTTTTTTTTTTTTTTTTTTTTTTTTTTGCACCATACATTTCGATACAAAGCTCCGCGTACGGGATTAATCTAGAGGGAACGATCTCGATTTCGATGGTTCGAGCTAATTCGTTTCGAATTTTTCCCCGTCCCGGGGACAAATTTTCGGCGTTATCCGAACGCATCTGTCAGCGGCATTTGCATAGAATGCTTTTATTAACAGTGGCGCGCCCGCCAGGGTTAAAATATTCCATCACCTGTCACCCACGTGGGCAGCCTCGAAAAGAAATTGTACCTTACCTCGAATACGTTACCTTACCTCTAATGTCCAAAGTTAAACTTTTCGTGAAATATATTCCGATGCAAAGGAGTAAAAGTTTTGGAATTATACGAGTTAAAGGAAAAAAAAAAAGGATATTATTATATGTTCGAACGTAATGTGTGAAAGGAATCGGTAAATAGTGTATTGTTAACCCGGGTTCAGGGGATGATATTTACCCGGATAAGAGGCAGATGAGGCGAAGAGCTCGATGGAACATTCGTAACCCGCTCGCATCTCTCGGCTCGTGCCGGCTGCTTCCGGTTTTTCATTGCTTCTGCCCTTCTGGGACGGAGATCCGATCTTGACGTGAACTTTGTTGTAATTCACTCGACGCGAGTCGCGTCATCTTTGCAGATTATCGAGGGACGAAGACGCAGGGTACAAAGGATTCGTGATATCTCGAGGGATGATGAAGAGAGACAGAGAGAGAGAAAGAGAGAAAAGAAATGAAATTTTTATCGAGTTTTACTTGTATAATGATTCTTCGCGTTATTTCATTATCATTATTTCTGTCTGACATTTCTTCTAAAAAAAAAGACAAAGCGTTTGAAAAATCCTTCGAGGATCGGGATGATCAGGTTGTTGTTGCTCGGAAGTGGCAAACGGGAGCCATTGTTGTTTCGCGTTTAACCGAATTTAGCCCGGAAAACACGCCCTCCAAATCAAGGGTTCGCTCGTAGAAGAAAAAAAAAAAAACCACCCTTCGAGATGTGTCCCTGGGGTGTTGTGACATATGCTCCTAGGCGGCTTATAACGATAGGATTTTCTGCGTGGGGGAGAATAGTCTTTGGTTTCGAAATTGAGGATGAAATTGGAATCGATTCTTTGGAAAAAGAAATTATCGTTCGTATATTCATTCATCTATTCGATCTTGTCATCTATCAAAAGGAGCAAAAGGTTTAAGATACTGTTATTAATAATTTCTATATAATTGATCTTCGTAAAGCGTCGAAATCAGCTACCAAAGGGGTTGTTTAATTATTATTAAACAACCGCGATTAATAAAAACGATTAATTAATCGCCACGTTAAGAGAATCGGATGATTCTCCTCGTGGTTCACACGGTTCATACCCGCGATGATTCCACTTTTTCGATTCTCTCTCACACTCGTTAAACCCATAGGATCTTATCTGTTATCGAACGGCAACACGACTCTCGCATCCAATCAACATTGGCCGAGGAAATTTTGTAACGGGGGAGCGATCGATGGTAGTCGATTAATATCGCATCCCCGATCACGTGTCGAATCGTTTTCGTGGGGAGTTTCCACCACGTCTGTCGTCGAATTAAACGCAATCAATTTTTCAATTTCTCGTCCCACCCTTGGTCACGCTTATTTCATACGAATCATATTTTTATCTTTCCTTTCTTTTTTTATTTCTTATTTCTTATTGATGTAAAATTCGTACGATCGCGGCAAGTTCCATTATTTTAATTGGAAAGTAAAAAGAATTCTTTCAAATTTCCAAGAACGAATCCTTGGAATTCCTTTTTCCTGAGAGAATTGAGAAAGAGAAAGAAAATGTCGCGTTGACTCGGGTTAAACTCTCGTAATCATATCCACTCATCGTCCCTTAAAGAACGTTCATCCTTCGCCCCATCCAAGGAGATTAAACTCTGGTTCACGTCTCTTTCCTCCACCACGATCGGAGGAACCCCCGAAAACGTTTCATTGTCCGCCAATTGAAGCTCGTTTAAGCGGGAGGGGTTGCCGCTAAATTGATTTAAATTGGCTTGGCCGCATTGGGGGAGGGACGGAGGGGTAGGTAGGAGGGACGAAAAAAAAGAAAAAAAAAAAAAGAAAAAAAAGGAATATCGCTCTCCCTATCGCCGCGTGGAATCTTTCCACGATACGGGAGCATTTATACTCCTCTCCTTACCTGACTTTTCTCCTCCGCGGGTCACCATTATAAATTTTTTCGATGAAATTTTCGTGACGCGCCCCATTAGGGCACCCGTATCCTCTCTCTCAGCTGCGAATTCGACGCGAGTTGTCGCCGCGCACCTATATAGACGTGTCCGTTTTATGACGTGTTCCATAAGATTGACGACATTTCGATTCCGAATCCTTTCTTTCTTTCTTTCTTTCTCCCTTCGTTCTCCACTTTTTATTCCGCTCGTTGCCTGTCCTCGCGGAAGGATCGACACGTCAACCGTCTCGGATACCGCGTTGATCGAACGGTTCCCTTATTAGCTTTTCTATGGAAGGAGGCGTTTTGAGTAGA